GCATGATATACTATATCAGGGCTTTTCATACTAATAATTGTTAATCTCGGGCCATTCTAAACCCCGGGTTACCAAATTCCTGGGTTTGGCCTATATTTTTACATGTTTAAAATGTTCACAATTAACCGTCGGAATTAATCCTGTGTATTCAGGTTTCAAGGTTTCACATTTTTACCATTCTAATTTGTGTATTTTCACTTGTTGGTTGGGGGATGGGGTTGACCTTCATTAAACCGCTTATCTCAAAAAAAAAAAAAACAGGCATAATTTCATATATAAACAAAATAATAACAAGATATATAAAAGCAAATTATAACATAAATTAAGTTTAAGGGAAAATAATCTGTCTATTATAGAGTTTTAAAGGCATTGCTTTTTTCGGCTGCTTTGAGGATTGAAATGAAATTTAAGATAATTTTTAAATCTACAATCAATTAAACAAATGTATATATTGTAAATAAAACTTACCTGTAATCAAAATATTACTGGACGAACTCACAGCATGCGACCTGTTGAAATAATGGACATCAGTTGGGCTTCTTTCTGCCTGTACCACCCAGTTTGTCCTGAAGAGACAAATGGACCCTTTTCGGGTCAAACTGCAAGAATAGCATGCTTTCTTTCAAGGTTTGACTTGTTCATTTTCCCCTCAAGTGTATGAATATTTAATGAGGTAAGTGGTGTTCAGATTATGATTGGTTGTTTGTTGCTAAACAACTGGCAGCTACAATTTGCAGTCGTTTGAAAAAGTATACGTTTGGCTAACTGCTTTGGAGTAGGGTTTCATAACCCAGGGTAGTGCTAACCCCCTTTTAAAATCAGTTGTAAAACTTTGTTTTACCTGGGGTTAAAAGCAGGGTTTAAAAAGGTGCCAGTAGCTATTTACACAATGACTATTACACTGTAGAAGCATAAGCACAAATAACTTTTTTTTTTATGAGGCATACTGCAAATATATGAAACAAGTATTAAGGCTCTCTTGTTCGGTTGAAATTACTGTTACAGATCTGTGGGGCTACTGTCTTTGGATTGGGCATCTATTTGATGACATTCTCCAGGTTCTCTTCTCTACTCCCCAGTCTTCAGGCTATGAACATCGCAAACACTCTTTTCATCACTGGGATCATCATCACCTGTGTCTCCTTTTTGGGCTTTCTCGGAGCCCTGAAGGAAAATCGTTGCCTGCTTATATCTGTGAGTCTCATGCAGAACATGTTAGCATCCATCACTTACACTTGCCTCTCGTCTCTGTTGTCCACTAAGTTTGACTTTCTAGGTTCTTTCAATAAAACTCATTATCTCCATTTGTTTGCTTTAGTTCTTCATATTGTTGTTCATTCTAATGCTGGCTGAGCTGGTTGCTGCCTGCCTTTTGCTGATGTTCGAGTCACGGGTAAGAAACAGGCAAAAAATTAAGATTTGTATATAAAAGCAGAGCATATGTGAGGAAAAAGTTCATCAGACTGCTTGTTTACTCACAGATTGACAGCTTCATTCATGACGATCTTAAGAAAGGTTTACAAAATTCCATAAACCACAGACAAAGCTACAATTACACAATTGAAGATGACTGGGACAAAGTACAAATGACAGTAAGTGCCCATTTAGATGATGTGTTTCTCTTTTATTAGTGGTGCTTAAGAAACCATTACTATTGCTTACTATATATCACTCACATTTTCTTCATAATAAATAAAAGTTACGGTTACAGTTTTTCTTATAAATCAACAGTTTCATTGCTGTGGAATTACTAACCATACACAATGGGGGACACATGTACCGAAGTCATGCATCAAGCCAAATGAGACGCACTATTGGCCGCATGTAATTCTGCACTTACATCCATCTCTATATCAGCTATATAGCAAAACAATATTAATGAAACACAGATAAACCAGATGTGGAGATGCACATCTAATTTAATCTTATATCATTTGTATTGTCTTGATTGTTGTATTTAGGGTTGTTTCACAAAGCTGAAGGACACGTTTGAGAAAAACCTCTTGAACACAGGGATCGCCGTCATTGTTATCTGCATTATTGAGGTTTGAGTTTCCATATGAGGCTTTATGTCTTGTTACCTCAGCTAATCAAAATGAATTGTACTAGACCCTACAGTTTTTAAAATGATTAAATGATTATCACATCAGTTTTGTTTAGCATCTATAGTTTTCCAGCTGATGCAGATCAGCACTAAACTAGTATAATATGATAACTGCAAGTATTTTTGTATCTTGACTAAACATCATCTCTCCTTTTGTAGGTCTTGGGTATGTGTTTCACCATGACCCTGTTCTGCCACATACGTCAAACTGGTTTAGGATATAAATGATCAAAAACATTTCCATAGAAGAAATATATCCGTCTTTCACAGTTTGTGTTCTAAATAACAATTGTCCCACAAATACCCAAAGACAGCCAGTAAAAGACAAGATGGCTCGCAGTTCTTACACGGATGCTCGGTTCTATAGTATGTGTATGGTATTTGTCCTTCACTAAGAAACAGTGATACAAACCCGTAATTATTGTAACTGCATTATTATTATTTTGCATGTATGAACAACAGTTATTAAAGCAGTTAAACCACAAACTGGTTCTAAAAAAAAAAACTAAAAAAAAACTGAGCAGTATTATTTAGCCTTTGGCCATTTCAAGGGGGATTTAAACACTGAATTCACCCACTTTCATCTGAATGTCAAGTTATAAAGAGGGTGTAAGAGAGATTTTCCATGATGAATTCTCTTTACACAAAGATGTAATGCCATATTACACTGTATATAGGTACTGATTATCTTTCACGTTATATAATTAATGTTGAGATTGACCTAATGTTCCTGTAACTGACGTGTTACATAGACTATAATTGACTTGTTACACAGACTATAGTTAAACAATGCACAGCATTTATTTCTGATCACTTTCTTTTCTGACTAGCTGCAGCAATGGCTAAACCGCATGGTTTCCCAATATGCACAGGGTGGAAACCACACATGCTTACTTAACAATTTCACCATTTTGTAATGCATAATATTGTTATAATATTCTTTCTTCTTTTCTCTGCAAAGTAGTGTAAATTAAACTAAAACAGAATGAAAGTGTTTTCTCTCCTTTTTGAAACGTTAAGGCAAATACAAGCACTATGGTTGATAGAGGAAGTGCCATCAATAGCAAATCAACACTTCCTCCACTAACAAGTGTTACGGTCATGCTGAGTGGCTTGAAAAGATGCTTTCGGTTATGAATTTGCATTTAAAGTTCATGAAAGATTAAATATGCGTTGTCAAAGGCATTGAAAACACCATGAAACTAAACATCAGAATTCAACTTTTATTTTTAGAACAAAATCCTGTCTCCACAATAATTAAGACCCCCAAAAAAAAACACTAAACTAAAAAAATACTAAGATTTCCTTTACATGTTTTAAAATATTTTTGTTCTTTCTGAACCATCACACAAAAAACAGAAACAAATACAATTTAAAGTAATCTTTTCTTTAAAAAAAAGTAACTGTACACGGCAGAATGCACCATTTTTCGCAAACACCCCTTAGACCTCTTCATCTATACACACATTATTGCAGTTCACCTAAAATATGCAAAACTAATCCTTTTAAACAAAAAAACTGATCTTTCGTTATACTTTCTGTTCTGAAAAATGGTGGGTTGTATACCGATCTAAAGTTTCACCCTTTTGCTTTCGCGCCCTTGTGCCAAAGCAGAAACTGAATCTCATATACTGATTATCATATTTTAGGCTTAATGGAAACTATAAAAGTGTGCTTTGAACAAATGAGGTGCTTACAAAGATACAAGGGAAAAAAGTATTTGTCCCACATGTATCAAGAGGGACGTTAAAGCCATTAAGGCAATGCTGCAACTATCCAAAGTTGGCAGAAGTAGTTACTGTTCTAATGATCTAGGACCAGTTATGGTTTCTCATACAACAAGTAAGGCTGGAATTTGGTGGGAAAAACAGTTCCTAAACCAGTCTACTTCTATAGAGGTTTCTTGGCTTGTTTTAAAGCCACAAAACTCATTTATAGCTTTAATTGTATCATAAATCTCAATAGAACTAACTGTGCATCCAAATCTATACAAAAATAAAACGATAGTCTTGCTTTCTCAACCATTACAAACAGAAAAAAGCATATATTGTGCCATCTACAAATGCTTGATAACTCAATTACCTCATTTTGTACTGAACAATATTATTACCACTGGTTTGTTAGGAAAATTCTACACTTGCAGTACCACATCATCATTCTACAAGAGTCCAGAAGCACTTCAGCTCTGCTCATAACAGAGGAAGTGTGTAATTAAACAAATATATAAAGATAGCCAGGTTTGTCTGAAACTACAACATATTCATTTCTAACAGTCACTGAGGGGATGTGAAACCATCTTTCGTGAACAAGACGCCTAGTGAATCTTCCACAGGCATCATATTTGGAATGAGTACAGCTCAACGGGGGACCCAGCCCCATTCGAATATTGCTAAATAAGAACCAAAGCTCTGACTTTAGTACAAGTGTCAGTTATGAATCAATAAGTTACATATATTAAGACTCCATTAAAAGGACAGATGGAAGATGTAGATCACATAAGGCCCCATCATTGTAGGTTTCAGTCGGTCCTATTGAAACCAGCTGAATGGGAGGAAAAGGAACTTTAATATTGCTATTAAACAGCACAACTGTTTTGCAAAGACATGCTTTTGAGTTTATGGAATAAAATGAACCACCTGAAAGAAGAATACAGAATCCAGAAGCACTCTCTCGCCCCATGCTGCCACTAATTTGATCTGAAAGAAATGCTACAAAGTTTCTGTTCTTCGTGCACTTATCAGAGCCCTAAGAGAATTGCAGAAGCGAAAGAGCATCTTAAGTTTGATCCTCTCACTCAACACTAAAACTAGTCGATTAACCGGTGGTCAGCAGCGGGTCTAAAGTTAGCAGCCTTATTTAAGAAGTGGCAACTGCTTGAGAGCATCAACCGGAACGCCACCTTAAAGCTGCTGTGTGACTGTGAAACATAAGGCCATTTATGGACATTGTTTTCAGACACTTAAAAATGACACTTAAGTTTCAAGATGCAAAACAAAATCAACACCCTCCAAAACTATCGCTCAACACTGAATGTAGAGCTGTGAACAAAAACTCTTCAGTATCTCCGAGTGTGAGCTACTGTACAAACGTCCCAACAGCAAGGGCAAAGGCGACCGGTTAACAGCACCACATGCAAACACAATGCATTAGTTCAGAAGTCAGACTGGGATGATGTGCCAGTACTAAATTACCAGTCTTGCTTGTGGTCATCATGTGCCATTTTAGTTTAGTTTGTGAATTTTTACTCCGTTTTAAGACGCAACATTTTAAAATGAAAAATCATTCATTTATAAATCCAGAAAGCAAATGTACTCATTTCAAAGCAATAAAAGAAAAACGTAAATCCTTCCTTCCCCATCAATTCAGGAAGTGCACAACTGCTTTGAGAATACCAACAGGATTTGTGCCATTTTCTTGAAATTTCATTAAGCTACACAATTTAAAGCTGACCAACATACAGAGAAAGCCCAAAGGTAAAGCCAAATCAGAGGCGTTTTTTGAAATGCACGACAATTATTAAGGGCACAACAAGTCACATGTACATCCAACCAAATCCTGACACCAGTTAAGAGTTTAAGCAATATTTTCTATTTGAAAAATAACGGAATTAAAAATACACCAAAACAATTGCAATGAGCATATGATAATATTTATGATCATGGACTTAAAACAACTGACTACAAACCAATCTGTGAGCAGAGAGTCTCTGTGACTAATGTAGATAAATAGAAGTCATCACATTGTGCTATTGCTGGCCAATGAAGTTCAAGCAAAGAGAACAGGGAGAGTAAAAAAAAAAAGAAAAAGAAAATCGCCATCCTAGTTTGCTTGTTCTAAAGTAAAATGCTACTTTCCTCTCAAAGTAAAAACGTAAGCAACCATAACACATTTTGAAATATACCTCAAAAAAGGAGGTTATTAAGATTGTGCCGATACATTGCTGATATGATGCTTGGATTTCAAAATCCATTAAGTGTACTAAGAGAGCACAGTTTATTTCCTGCTTCTGTTTTAAAAAGCAGCTGGTCCAGACAGAATCTGACGTTCTCTACAGGCAGCTTTACAGAGAAGCAGCTGGAACGGAAAAGAGGAGGGCGGGAACGTGAACGAGTAGATAAATGTGATGATGTGTGTGTTCGACTATATGTGGGACCAATGAAGTAATTAGGGTGCTCTCAGGAATGTGTGGAAAATGAGAGGAACTCTGGATTCCATGCTGGGAATGATGCTGCATGGCATTTTGGGAGAGGAGCGGATCGTCTCCGGCAGTCTCACAGAGGCATGAGGCGTGTGGTGTGAAAAAGAAGCGGGTTTAGGTCCTCGGCGTGTACAGCACGGTGTAGAGAGGGCTCAGAGGCACTCCGCTCGATTTTTGGCAACAGATCCTGGACCTGCTCAATGCCCACCAAGATCTGAAGAACAGCAGGGATGAAACATGAGAGGCTGTTGCTTAATCTGACATAACAGTGGTGGAAATCAGAGAAGGGATCTGGTTTATTCTCACCTGTGGGAAGAGTGGCCGCTCATCACGTTTGAATTTCAGACAGTCGATGATGAGCCTCTTCATTGATTTAGGGCAGTTACTGTATAATTTACTGAGGTCTGGAGACAAGTACCCACGACCCACCATGAAAATAATCTACAGGAAGAGAATACCCGAAAATCAAAAAAAACTGCATTTCATAGTTCATGTTCACACAAACTTCTCCTTCTGTGTTCCAAGGAAGAAAGTCATACAGTCAACATGAGGGTGAGTAAATGATGACAGAATTGTTATGTTGGGTTGAACAAAGTTCATTAAAAACTATTTACAGCTTGAACAGAAGGTTTCTGGGCTGAAAAGGACAAACTATCAAACTGTGAAACTACAAGCCAATCCCTGATTCATAACCGTAAGATGGCAAAGTGATGGTGGTGCATGTCTGACCTGATCGCGGTTGTTGATATTCGAATAAGGCAAAGTCCCAGACATCAATTCATAGAGCACCACTCCATATCCATATACATCTGACTGGAAGGTGTATGGGTTAGTGTCTTGCATTCTGATCACCTCTGGGGCCTAAAAACAACAGCAGAGAGAAACAAGCTGTACAAATGTATTTCTCAACAATAAACGCAGGATGAAACTACTTCACATACGTGATAAGCTACTAGGTATAAGACTCATTGATGATTTAATGAAATGAGGTATTGAGCTGGGTGACGATTACTCACCATCCACAGGATGGAGCCACTGGGCTGTTCAACCTGCTGAGAGCCACTCCAGCGAGACTTTACTGTGGCCAGCCCAAAGTCACCGATCTTTACAGTCCAGCCTTCATGCAGGAAGATATCTGACACATGAGCTCAGGAGTATCATGCAGAACACAGAAAGACTACAACATCACTAGAGAGAATGCATTAGCATTATTATTCCAGTAAATCATCAACCTTAGCCTTCAATCTTATGTCAGTAATAATTTTGGTAAATCAGACAATTCTTTATTTACGAACATATTAAAAACAGAAAGCAGCTTGGCAATCTACAGGCAGCAAATTAGTTGAATCCGATCTATCCTGCAACAGATCTCTCTCACAATACAGACAAGAGCACTGCTAATACATTATAGAAAGGATACTATTGGATTTCAAGTCCCGATGAATGATATTCTTGGCGTGAAGATAACTGTTAAGGAAAGAAAAGTAGCAAATTATGTACAAATTTGAGATTTTAATTAAATTAAGTTTCTACACTCCATCTATGTTCTGTAAATCCAAGCATTACTAATAGGCAGTACAATCATATAACAGTGGTGGATTTAAGAGGACGTGCTAATTTCCCATACAAGTGTGTCCTAGTGACTCGGAGCTGAACAAAGAGTGCCATTAAGTGCACTGTCTTCTGGTGTGAGCAGCTCCTCAAGATGTTTTGTTTTCCCCCATCAAGTTACAGGTGATCTTTGTTATCACAAGTCCAAATTACAAGCAATTTACCACTATTAATTATGTACTGATCATATATAAACACACTAGCTGATAATATAATAATGATATATTATTTATTGACATGAGTGTGTGGGAGACCTATGAAAAATCTGTAAGGAAATTATGCCTTTTGAAAAGCACACAGCTGGCTGCACTTATTATAGTATTACAATTTTAAAATAGTTTTCTATTTGAACATGTTGTAAAATGTGATTAATTTTTGTGATGGTAAAGCTGAATTTTCAGCAGCCATTACTCTCCAGTCATCAGTATCACATGATCCTTCAGAAATCATTCTAATATGCTGACTTGGTGCTCAAGAAACATTTCTGATTATTATCAATGTAGTAAACAGTGGTGCTGCTTAATATTTTTGTGAAAACCTTGATTGTTTTTTTAGGAATCTTTGATTAATAGAAAGTTCAAAAGAACAGCATTTATCTGAAACAGAAATATTCTGTAACAAATGTCTTCACTGTCACTTTTGATTTAATTTAATGCATCCTTGCTGATTAAAAGTATTATTTACTTACGCCAAACTTTTAAACAGTAGTGTACATTAGTAGGTTTTGTTATATTAACATCCTTTAATTGGAACAGCAATTATGCTACATGTAGGATAGCAGCTATCCCAAGCTGTCAATATAGGTAAAAAAAAAATTAAATATCTTACTCCATGCCCTGTGCAGTCTGGCGAGCAACATCAATACGGCGCATCGTGTCAAACTTGGTCTCAGTAACATGCAGGTGGTGGTAAAGGCTGCTCCCTTCACACCACTGCGTGATAATGGCAAAATTAGGCTTCGTCATGAAGCCCATGAACAGCAGAATGTTGACATGGCGTGTTTTTCTGAGGAGCAAGAGTATCAAATTAGTCATACTGATCATACTGACATCTATTTGAACTAGATTATTTGAACTGGAGATTAGTTGGCTGTAGCAGCAGTTGATATTACTAATGTAGTAAAGCAGCATTAATGAGAACTACCCTGATGAAAAAAACAACATGTGCTGCTGGTTAGGTATGTTTTGAAGCATGTCAGCTGGTTTGAGCTGGTTTAAGCTGGTCATGTGATTTAATTTAATGCATCCTTGCTGATTAAAAGTATTATTTACTTACGCCAAACTTTTAAACAGTAGTGTACATTAGTAGGTTTTGTTATATTAACATCCTTTAATTGGAACAGCAATTATGCTACATGTAGGATAGCAGCTATCCCAAGCTGTCAATATAGGTAAAAAAAAAATTAAATATCTTACTCCATGCCCTGTGCAGTCTGGCGAGCAACATCAATACGGCGCATCGTGTCAAACTTGGTCTCAGTAACATGCAGGTGGTGGTAAAGGCTGCTCCCTTCACACCACTGCGTGATAATGGCAAAATTAGGCTTCGTCATGAAGCCCATGAACAGCAGAATGTTGACATGGCGTGTTTTTCTGAGGAGCAAGAGTATCAAATTAGTCATACTGATCATACTGACATCTATTTGAACTAGATTATTTGAACTGGAGATTAGTTGGCTGTAGCAGCAGTTGATATTACTAATGTAGTAAAGCAGCATTAATGAGAACTACCCTGATGAAAAAAACAACATGTGCTGCTGGTTAGGTATGTTTTGAAGCATGTCAGCTGGTTTGAGCTGGTTTAAGCTGGTCATGTGCTGGTCCTAAGCAACTAGCTCCTGCTCAGAACCAGCTCATAACCAACTAAGGACCAGCTCAAACCAGCTGACATGCTTCAAAACATACCTAACCAGCAAATGCTGTTTTTTTTAACAGGGTACTGTTATACTGTCCTCACCAGTAGGCTTTGAAGATATGATCATGCAAATGACTCACCGTAAAACCTGCATCTCATTTTTAAAGGCCTGGAGCTGCTCCGGTGTGGGCTCTGTCACTTTAAGAATCTTGATAGCCACGTCTCCATGCCACTTGCCTTTATAGACGGTCCCAAAAGACCCTGCTCCAATCCTCTTTAACATGGACACCTCCCGTGAGTGCACCTCCCAGTAGTAACTGGAGTCTCTGTAACCTCCCCGGTGCTAGAAAACACACAAACAAAATTTTGTTTAAAAAAAATCTGATTGTAACCAAGTCATCTGGGCTTTCTATCAAATAAGACACACACTCACCACTTTCTTTTTATCATCAGAGGAGGATTGCTTTCGTTCCTTGGGCTCAGAAGGGGATTTGGGGGGTCTTCTTCCTGGTGACCCTAGGTGGGGTGGGCTAGTGGAAGGCTTGGGAGAGGACTCTTGCCCTGTGAACAACACTAGAGTATGAGGGCCAGTTCACACACATGGAGAGGTGTAGTTAAATGCGTCATTGTAATCAGGGATGGATAAGAAACAAAAATGTATGTAGTGTAATTGTGGGTGTGTGGGAAAAAATGAACATGTGCTCATGTGAGTGACGGGTAGTCAAAGTGAAAAAATAAGAAATAAAAAACTAAACAAAAAACTCACCCATTGTGCTGATTTTGAATGGCTCCTGAATGAGAATGGGGGAAAAATTAATAAATACATGCAATGGAGGAGAGATGATCAAGGAGGCATGCAGAACCTCCATTGTCATATTCTGTAAAGTAACATTTCTAAACATTTGGTATACAAACAAGCTAATACTTTTGTACAGGGACAGTTCACCCAAAAATGCATTCACTCACTCTCCTGTCATTTCAAATCTGCATGACTTCCTTTCTTCCATGGAACACAAATGCAGAAGTGAAGCAAAATGTTGACATTGCTCTTTTCTATACAAACTTTTTAATGCCGGTTTTCAGTAATTATTGTCATTTTCGTATCTAGACAGCCACTTTCACTGTATGGAAAATAGCAGTGTGAACACTTTGTCTAACATCACCTTTTGGGTTCGACAGAGGAAAGAACATTTTGGAGCGAAGCGGGTGACTTTCATTTGTGGGTGAACTGTTTCTTTGAAACAAAAAAATGACAACATCAGAATATATATCTGGACTTGATGAGCCTCTAGTCCGCTCTCTAACCTCCATGAGGCCAGCAGCGCCAGGCTCCAGCGTGCTGACCATGTGGACGTTGGGTGTTGAGGTGGAGCGATGCCTCTGGAGAGACTGACCGTCCTCTGCTGCCATGAACAATTGGTAGCTTGATGTGGAAGTCAGTATTTCCCCTCTAAAAAGGGTAAAACAAAAAAAGTAAACCTACACGTCAGTTAGTGCTACATTTCCCATTGGGGATCAACAGATACGTGCATTTATAGGTGAAGTTAGAGTGTACCTGGGAGAATCTGATATGGAATTGGTTGCCGGATATATCAATATCGAAGGGCAGCCTTCTGTATTAGAAACACACCTGAGAGCAACAGAACACCAGTTAAGTGACGAAAATGACAACAAGTGCACATAAACAGACAATTTCATTCGGAACATACCGTTTTGTCACGGTGTCCATATCCAAACATACTGTAGGGACTTTACTGCTGCAGTGCTGGTGAAATTTATACCCACACGTCTGACACCTGAAGCCGTTGAACAAGAACTTGTGGCAGAAGTCACAGTAAGCTAATTTAAAGAATGTTTTACGTACCTGTGAAAACAAGATTGTGCCATTTAAGGGTGATGCTGATTTGGTGACTCACAAGTTTATGTGATTTATATTATTAATATAGACTACCATTCAAATGTCTGTGGTCAGTATGTTTTTTGTTTAATTAATACTTTTACCAAGGAAGGTTTAATTAAATTGATCAAAAGTGACAGTAAAGAAATATATGCTACTCTTACAGTTTCTATTCATCAAAGAATCCTGAAAAAAAAAAAAATGTATCACTGTGTCCACAAAAATATCAAGCAGCTCAACTGTTTTTAACACTGATAAATGTCGCTTGACCACCAAATCAACATATTAGAATTATTTCTGAAGGATCATGTGACACTGAAGACTGGAGTAATGGCTGCTGAAAATTCAGCTTTGCCATCACTGGAGTAAATTACATTTTAAAATTAGAAAAGAGTTATTTTAAATCATAATAATATTTCAGAATGGTATTGTTTTTTTTAATCAAATAAATTCAGCCTTTTTTTTTTTTACTTTTTTTTTAAAATGCAATAAATGAGCATAAGAGACTTAATTCAAAAACATGAAAAAATCTTACTGACCCCAAACTTTTAAACGGTAGTGTACTAATGTTCATTGTTAATTAATGTCTGTTCATAATGCATGTAATGTAAAGCCTACAATTCATGATTTAGCATAAATTAAATGTTAACCTCAAACTTGAAATTAACTTAAAAATCAACTAAAAATTAAATCTATTAGAATGTTATAGCTGTGGTGCAAAATAATAAAAATACATAAATAAAAAATAAGCATACAAAGTACTAACATTAACCAAGATTAATAATTGCTGCAAAATACTGTTCATTTTTAGTTCATCATAGCTAATGAATTTTCTACTGTTACAAATTTAACCTTATTGGAAAGTGCTGCCAATTTAATCGAAGTTTCAGTAGTTAAAATTTACATCAATTAAAGGTCCCAGAATTGCTGGACAGAACTAATCTGTACTAAATAATCTGTACTTGCTCATCATAATCATCCCACATAAACTTTCCACAGAGATTTTTTGTTGCATTAACCTCAAATATTTTCCAGTACATGCAGTTTTCTAAAATGAGAACCTAGCTTTGCTGACTCTGATGCCTTGTCCAAATACACACACTTGTGGTCTTTGCACTTGACCTTTGGTATTTTTAAGACCTGGGACAGTCTTGCGCACTTACTTCCTGTCGTGCGCACGTGCTCTCAAGTGGCCAAGACCGCAAGTGTGGGTATTTGGACAAGGGGTGAGTCTGTTGTGCAAGTACACTTACGAAGTTGTGCATGGTAAGAGGAACATCATCCAGCACTTCTACCAGAAGCTCTTCCCCTACGAGGGGTGTGATGTCAGTGTCCCATTCTGTAAGTCTCTTCCGGCTGGCCAAAAGACAAAAGAACAACAAAGTCAAAACAACAGAGTATAAACCTTACTAAGAAGAGACATTTTGTCATTTTACAAGTCAAATTCTTAGGGACACCTACCCTTCAAGAAGGCGAAAGACAGCACAGCAATCCTGGCTGAGGCCTCTGACTTTTAGAGCTTTATCTAGACTATCATGGACAGTTTGACCAGGCCGAACATTTACCTAAACACATGGTCACATAGTGCTATCAACGTATGATCACAAACACGCATCCTCTAATTACCGATATATACAGGTTATGTTAGCTATTCCATTTCTTTACTAAAAATAATAAAAGGCATTTTAAACTAATCAGACTCCAGTAAATGAACCCTCACCACCGTCCGCTGCTTGTTGGGGAGGTAGACACGAATGGTGCCCCCACCTCGGGGTGTGTCATCCGGGCTGGTTTCCCCCGAGGAGGAACAGGAGGAGGTGTTGGACATGGTGTCTCCAAAGGGGCAGTCAGTATATACACAAACCTCCCTCACACCTACGTTGTTATAAAAACATACCCATTAAACAGATCTGATCAGGGATCCAGCAAAATGTTGTTTGCATTGCAGTTAATGTCTTTGTCATCTTTCCTGCTGTTTTTTGTATAAACGCTTTAAAAAAAATATGTATCTTATGGTTTCAGAACACTGAAGCATATATCATACAAGACACACACACAGACAGGAAGAGTATGAGTGTAATTGTTGTGGAACATTTGACATTTTCAAAATGACGTAAACATTTAATTTCATGATTTATTCAAATTATTCGAAATGTATGCTTTTGCTAACAACTAACTGTTTATTAATTCTTTGTTAAAAATACACCGAAAATAAATTACATTTTATTAGTAATACACAATTTTGGAAACTGAAAATACTTGACCATAACAGAACTGAGAAAAAAAAAAAAAAGGTTTTGGCCAAAATAGTTTTGGAAGGCTGAAGGGTGCTTCAGTAAATCACTTCTGTCAGTGCATCACTAGATTTGATCATGGCTGATGCGTTCACAAAAAGTTTGATAAAAGTACAAGCTGAATGCCATGAAGATAATGTCCAAACAAGCATTACCTCTGAAACTATTTAAATGAATAGTAAATATATAATATAATAAATAAACACACTTTAAATTGGTAGCCAAATGAATTTACAATTCAAAATTCAGGATAAAAACACTGCAGGCGTGGCCATTTGAAATTACACCGTGTTGAGAAAAAGCAAACTGATAACTCAGAACCATATGTCAGTGGAGCTTGTAAGTGCCTAAATAAATATTTTTGTTTCTACACTGATCGTTTGATGTAATAAAACCAATACAAAACACAAAGGAAATGCCCCAAATAAAGACATCCGATGTCGTTCAAACTCCTTTTAACATTTTGGTCTATAATTATACACTATAATTTAAGTCTTATGGCTATCGAAAATTTAAATTAAGCCACTTAATCCAGACACGTAGGAACAAGTACTTCAGATTGAACGTTTTATGATATTTAATGCAGTATACAATCATCGCAAACTTAAACCTCAAGTATTGCGTATACTGAAAACCACTGCAGTTGTACCATTGTGCAAAACTTCACTTGTGTTGTACAGTTATACTAAAGCAAGTAAACGAGCATGTAATAAATAACAAAACACAGATCGTACAACCCCACTGAATCTAGTTTAAATGCAGCTTTTACAAGCCAGAAAGCAACTGCGTGTGTGTATAACATCTACTACCTTGAGAGATATCTATATATATATACACACACACACACACATCTAAAACTGCAAAGAATACACACACACACACAACTATACAGATTTTGTTAAAAATATAACAAATTATAGCTGCAAAGAATCCCATTTCTAAGCAAGTCTTCGGTGATCAATCCTTGTTCAAATGCATTTAGAAATGCAAAGTAACACCCCAACAGTTCATGTTACATCTACAGTATTAACGCAGTATACACAGCAAACACCTCCCCTCCTTAAAGTATAACCACAGAAAATGTGCAGCAGCCTGCAGTGAAGATGATCTGGCTGGGTTTAGCTAAGAGTGATGTGCCTGATCATTTGCTCTGTTCTTTTACTACAATACAGGCCATGCACTCCTAGCTAGCTCATTTTATCAAGACATTAGTCAATATTATGACTTAAGTATAAAAGCATATTAGCTAAATATAGATCCTTAAGTCCCGTCAGGTGCCTTTTTCGTGCTGAAAGAGGGAATGCTGTTTTCATGAGGCGGAAAGGGATTAGACGACTAGCTGCTAGCTAGCTAGTGTTGCTAATGCTGTCTAAAAGTTGAAAAATCTGACTTTATCTTAAATTTTCAGCCGCGGCGGTATGAATTAACGCGACTTACACCTGCAAGTAGTATTTCTGCAAACTACGCAACCCGTTCGCGAGACTCGCTAAGCATTTTTTGCTCCAGAGTAAATACTCACCTGAGACAGCCATCTTGAATTCTCTGTCTCAAGTCGGGTCAGCAAAGAATTTCAGGGAAAGCGGAACATTGAAATCTCGCGCTCTGATTGGTGGAGATCTGTGAATCGAGACACTGATTGGTCAGCTATTGTGGTACTTTGTAGCAATGGATCAGAAAGGGGCGAGTGCTGCGGGGAACGAATGTAAAGTTTTTCCAAGCATTAAAGAAACCTACACTGTTCTATACATTCTCAATATACTGTTCAAAATGTTTATATGTTTGTTAAAACCAAACAAAACTGTTTCAAGCAAAAACTCCGTTTAAATATTCAATACAAGCCATTTCATAAGGAATAATAAAGCAACAAGGAACTAAAAAAAAACAACACAAAAGCTACAAATGTAAAGAACGTTTTTTTGATGTTCAAGGTGACTCTGTACAAAAGATTACATTTGAGCAAGTGTCAACAGGCAAACAATATTATCATAATACTGAAACAAATTTGTCCATCTTTTTAAATGTCACAATTAAATGGAAAAAAGACCACTATGTAGGTTCAATTACATTGAAAATGTCCATGCTGACAGAACAATGCAGGTTTTCGAAGAGTTCATTGGGCTATTCCACACTTAAGAATTTCCTCTTTTTGGCAGTGCGTGTGTAAGGATGGAGTCGCCACTCAACATCTGCAGTATTCTCGTTCTCCAGTGTGCCGAGCTTGATCATGTACACTGAAAAAGAAAGATGAAACACAAGATATGAATAATGAGCAGAGTGCAACATAAGTGCATGTTCTGAATTAATATCAACTGAAATATCTAAAACCAAAAAACAGAGATGCTTACATTTCATTTCAAATCTGGGTCCAACCTCTGTCAACTCAACGTTCTTGTGATCGGTTTTCTTGTAGGTATGGTGTCTGCAATATACAAAGTCATTTCAAGATCATTAAAACCAAATTCCTTATAATAATTAGAATCAAAACCTTTAGAACAACAGTTCTAACGAACCAGCACTCACCTGAAAGAGATGAAATCATCTGTATTTGCGAACGTAACAATACGCCTACTATCCTCTTTGGGTACAGGAAACAAATACTTTAGGATGTTGGAGACCTACGGAGAAAAAATATTTTGCTTTCAGCTTAACAAATAATATCCATTACTAAACCAAGTAATTAAAGATTTTGTAGCTTTTCAGAAGCCCTTATAATGTCACACAGAGATTTTAAATGATCTTCAGTAAAGCCTAGCCTCTTTCTCTCTATACATATGGTAAGACAATAATTGCGTTTATTTTATTAAAATAGGAAACTGAATATCAAATACTATACACTACGGTTTAAAAGTTCGGGGTTGTTTTTTTTTTTTTTTACTTTTACACTCACAAAGGCTGCATTTATTAGATCAAACTGTAAAAACAGCAATATTGTAAAATATTATTACAACTTAAAATAACTATTTTTTTATTTTAATACAATTTAAAATGTAATTTATTTCTGTGATGCAACTCTAAATTTTCATTCTTCAGTGTCACATGATTCCTCAGAAACCATTCAATCCTCAAGAAACATTTTTCAGTGTTGAAAAATTGTGCTACTTATTATTTTTGTGGAATCTGTGCTACATTTTTAAGCATTCTTTAAGGAATAGAAAGTTTAAAAGAAGAGCACTTATTTGAAGTAGAATTCTTTTGTAATATTATAAATGTCTTTACTGTCCCTTTGATCAATTTTTTGCATTTTTGCATAAAAGAAAGTGTTCATTTTGTTTAAAAAAAATCTTACTGACCCCAAATTTTTGAATGGAAGTGTAGGCGATTATTATTGTTTATTATTGTTTCTAAGGACCCTAGAAGTTATTTCCTGTATAACTCACTCTTCGGCCAAGACGTGACGTGAAGTTGTGGAAGATAAGGTGAGGGTAGGCTTCAGACATGGTGCCAATGTCTGGAACATCATGTCTCATTACCACATTATACAATGTGAAGTAGGCAGTCGGCCCATAAGGAAGGTGGCACACCACCAAACCATCTACAGAAGAAAAACACACAAATGAAAGATGTAAAGTACCCTAAGGTGAAAACTGCAAAATAAAACTGGATATTAAAGTAGAGCGATTGAAAAATCTTTCATAATATACCGAATGTTTACCAGGTATTGATATACTGTGTACTAAAACAGGACACAGATCAAAACTATAACAGTCCATACCTGGCTGGCCTCTGGTCTCATGAACTATAACAAGATCATTGACATTATTAGATCTGCACGCATGTACTAATGTTTTAACTTCATGGTTTCCTCTGTTCATACGCTGGGCCCCTGGAAACATCAGCTTCATTTCCTGCAAAAAAGAAAAAAAAGAAAAAAAGCCACCTAAATAAACCACAACCACTGAAAGATGAAGGTTTCACTTACGTCATTATGGTAACATGAACAAAACATCAGATTACAGTCATGGCCAAAAGTTTTGGCAGTGACATAAATTTTGTGTTTTGCTAAATTTGCTGCTTAAACTGCTGTAGTGTTCATTGACACTGTTTCTAGATTATGTCACTGCCTATAAGTAAGTTAAGTAGCAAAGTTTGCAAAACACAAAATTTGTGTCACTGCCAATACTTTTGGCCATGACTGTAGAGTTAACGAGGTAAAACTACAAGCATTCACACAAAGAAACACTTTATTCTTACTGTCAAATATGAATAATAGGATTTAACATACTTTGGCAAACATCTTGAGTCTAGAGCTGGGGTCTCTTGATGTTGTGACCATAATCTTGGGGTCTTCCACTCCTGCCCATTTGTACTCATCATCCATATGAGAACTAACACCTATATAATATCAGAAAATACGTTTACATCTGGTAGCAGATAAAACTGGATTCTGATGTAAGTGACGGAAAAATAGTCACCTTCTCCACCCTCATCATCAAACTCCAACAGTTTCTGTAATTCTAAAGCCTCCTTCCGAACTTCAGTGGGTAAAAGACGATTTTCTGCAAAATATATGAACCGAATAAAATGAGACATCCACAATATATCAGACAGGTT